CTGGAGACATGACTGATGAACAAAGAAAATGTTATTTTAGAGCCAGTAATGTCTGCAATGTTCATTCTGGACCTTATTTTGAAATTGTCATATTTGTTAATTTTCGTGAAATTGGCCAAATTGCAAATTTCTGACCACATCATTGGATAATTGAGATAGGTAAATGGGCAGTTTCTTGTACTCAATCGATAGAAAAAATGGAGTTCTAAAGAAATAGCTATGAGTTTGGTCGACTGGAGCAACGGAATTAGCCGAAAATAGGGCTCAAAGTGGGCTAAATTGCCAATTTGTAAATATCGCCGAGGTCGCTAACTTCGCGAGAGCATAATTCCGTCAGTTTTCCATCAAATTTCGTTTTTTTTTGGTGTCATTACAATCGGGAAAAGATTCTTTATCATTTCATAAGAAAAAATAATTTTTTTTTTTTTTTTTTTTTTTTTTTGAAATTTTGCAACACAAGGAGACACCTCAGGATTGGGGGTTGCGACAGTCAAGGGGTTAAATCTCCTGCCTTGTTTTTTAGTGTGTTGATAATAAGGGAGACTTTGTATGGGTTAGTCAGAGCTAGGAACAGTGTGTTCGGGTAGTTGCCAGTGAGGTAGTCATTTGGTGGGTATCTGAGCTTGGGATTTTATTGGCAAGGTTTTGTCCTATAGTGGAGAAGAAATCATTGAGTCTGTTTGCTGTTTCTGTTGGTGGGAGTTGGGGTTCATCTAATTTTGCTAATTTAATTTCGCTATTTCGTGATATCTTTTTTGTTCCTAGAATTTCTGATAGGGTTTTCCAGGTCTTTTTTATATCACCTCGTAAGTTGGATAATCTGTTCTCATAATACAGTTTTTTTGCCCTTCTTATCAGGCTGGTTAGGATTGACGAGTAACGTTTTGTTTGATTTCTGGTTATGTGACCCATTCTGTACTGTTTTTCATATAGGTGTTTTGTATTTATGGATTTGAGGATGCTGGGTGTTAGCCAGGGACTGTTGAGTCTCTTAGCTGTCATCTGTTTAGTTTTTTTAGAGCAGTGCTTGTTATAGAGGTATTGGGTCTTTTTTAGAAAATTATTAATACATTCGTCAATATCTGTATAGGTTTCTAGCTCAGTGTGCCAGTCAATGTTTGTTACTGCTGTTGTGAAGTTATTAATGGCTGCCTCATTGTGAAGTCTGAAGGTGACTTTAGTAGTGTCTTGGGGTAATTTACCAAGAGTTGTTATGAGGAAAGTAGGGTAGTGGTCTGTGGTATTATCTGTGATTATGCCTGATTTTAAAGGGGATATGGTGTTGGTCCAGATGTGGTCCAGTAGGGAAACACTAGTCTCTGTAACTCTTGTAGGTTTTGTTACTGTTGGTAGCAACATGCAGTTACTCATTGTGTTTGTGAATTCAGTAATGTGTGGGTCCTGGTCTTGCAGGAGATTTATATTGAAGTCTCCTGAGAGTAGTAAGTGATCTTTGTTCATGCGTACATCAGTTATCATACTTCCTAGGTTTTGACTAAATCGGCTAATGTTTGACTGTGGAACTCTGTAGATGTTTATCAATGTGAGACATTTTTGTAAGTATTTGGATTTGAATTTAGCTATTATATATTCCCCATGTTCATCCCTTGTGCAAGTATTAGTGATACATTCTAGTTGGTCTGAGTAGTATATAGCTGTGCCACCCCCTTGTTGGTCTGGCCTACAGTTGTGTATGGCTGTGTAACCAGGAATGGCATAGACATCAGTAGTATCAGGCTTTAGCCAGGTTTCAGTTAGTGTAATGATGGACATATTGGCATGCAAGGAATTTAATAATGCTATGAGGTCATCGTAATGCTTGCTTAAAGGTCTGATATTGTAGTTAAAGATAGTTATGTTGTTGTTGGCTCTGAGGAGTGCCTTTGTTTGCTCTGCTGTGTAGTAATTACAGTTACTGTTTGATTCATTTAAGTCATTCAGTAAGAGGTTGGTATCAGGATCAATGCTTGTTATCATAAGATTTGTAGTGAATCTATAGTTAGAATTAAGTATAAAACAAAGTAAATATTCTAAAGCTAAAAAATAGCACCTGAATTATTTAACAAATGTAAAAAAAATGAGATCAGGTAGTTTTTTTTAAAGCTAAAATAATGGAGACAATATAAAAAGGACTAAAATAATTTGTGGTGAACAAATAAAGTGATGATCAAATAATGGAGCTTGGGAATATGATAGTAGGTAGTACTTTAAAGGTAATTCTTTAAAGTTAGAATTAGGGGAAACAATTTAAAAGGAACTAATATAAGTTGTGGTGAACAATAAAGTGGTAATCAAATAAATGAGCTTTGGAATATAATGGCAAAATTGTGCACTTATTATACTTTAGCACCTGAGAATAGCACCTTGATTATTTTAACAATTGTGAATATATGAACTAAGGTAGTTATATAAAGCTAAAATAAAGGAGAAAATATATAAGGGACTAAATTAAGTCATGGTGAACAAAGTTAAATGGACAGATAGTTACTATGATATAATATTGATTAAGAAATAAGATCTGATTTTTAATATTAAATAAGTTGAGCAGTTTATTGCACAATAAAAAGTAAAAAAATATGAGGTAGTTGGTACTAGCTAGCAAAAGATAGTTTTGAGACTTGCAAAAAAGTAATTGGAATATACACTAATTGCAAACACAATAAAAAGTGACTAAAAAACAAGTAGTGGTAAACAAAATTAAATGGACAGGTAAGAACAATGAATAATATTAATTTGGAGTAAAATTTGACTTGTAACACAAAATTATGATTAATTAATAGCAGTAGGAAAGAAGTATAAAGTATTGGAGGTAGTTGGCATTAGCTAGTGATGAAAAATAAAAAATAATAATGCACAATATAATAGTAACATACATTATGTGTACCACACGTATAGTATATGTATTAAGGGCACTTATCTAATCTGTTACAGAATTGTGATTATGTACATGTCCTTGTTGATCAGGTCCTGGACCACCATGAAGCCTGGTCATGGTCTGGGTTGTGGGGGCGTTGACCCCCAAAATACCTTCCGGGTAATCTCCTCTTCACCCCAAAAAAAAAAAAAAGTAACTTGCATGCTTCACTGTAAACACTTGGTCTATACTAACCCTTCTTGAAGCTTTCTTATTATTCTGTGATTTTTCTCTCCATCTTTCCCTTAATTCTTTCAGTAATAACTCTACCATATACAATTGATAAAGAAGTAGCTCTTGATCAGTGTTGGGATGTTACAGTTCTGGAGGTGGGAAGTACTGTATTGGCAGTCTGAAGGATGGGTGGGATGTTGCAGTTCTGGAGGCGGGAAGAACAGTGTTGACTGAAGGATGGGGGGGGGGGGGATGTTGCAGTTCTGGATGTGGGAAGAACAGTGTTGACTGAAGGATGGATGGGATGTTGCTGTTCTGGAGGTGGGAAGGACAGTGACAGCACTGAAGGATGGGGGGATATGATTGAGGTGTATAAATGGAAAACAGGAATAAATAAAGGGGATGTAAATAGTGTGCTGAAAATATCTAGCTCATACAGGACTCACAGCAATGGCTTTAAGTTGGAAAAATTCAGATTCAGGAAGGATATAGGAAAGCACTGGTTTGGTAAGAGAGTTGTGGATGAGTGGAACAAACTCCCGAGTACTGTCATAGAAGCTAAGACTTTTTGTAGTTTTAAAAATAGGTTAGATAAATGCATGAGTGGGTGTGAGTTGGACCTGACTAGCTTGTGCTACTAGGTCAGATGCGACCTGACTTGACTAGGTTAGGGCGCTGGCTTAAGCCGGTAGGAGAATTTGACCTGTCTTGCATGGGCCAGTAGCCCTGTTGCAATGTTCCGTCTTTCTTATGTTCTTATTACAGTTGGTGGTGGAAAGTATAGAATTGACTGAAGGATGGGTGGGGATGTTGCAGTTCTAAATAGGTATGTACAAAGCATACATTCTGATGGATGAGTATGTTGCACTTCTGGCGAGGGAAGTATATTGTCTTCATTCTGATTGATAGATGGATATGGATGTTGATGTTCTGGAGAGGGAAGTACAGTGCCTACACTCTGATGGATCAGTGAGGTGTTACAGATTTGGAAGAGAAGTACAGTGTTAGCACTCTGAAGCATGGGTGGAGATGTCACTGCTCTGGAAATGGAAAGTACAATGTCAGTGCTCTGAAGAATACAAGAAAATGAACATTCCTGTAGTATCATCAAAAGGGGTAAGAGGACTTAATTTTAATCTGACAACAAAAGCAGTGCTGGAAGAACAAAAAAAAATTCCTTCATCAGTTGAATGGTAAAATACTGGACTTCATCCCCTCATTGTGCACTGCTCATTTTCTTGTATGTTATGCAATGTCAGTTTCTGAATGTTCTTCCTATACATTTGTCTTATTTTAAGTTAAGGTATGGTACATTTCATGATCCTCTATATTCGCGTAAAAGGCTAATTTCAAAGACATGTTAGTCATGTGTTCTTGCAGGGAAAGGAGGGGGTTGTTGAGGTGTGTGAGGATGTATGCAATTGTTAAAATCTCAAGTTTATAATGTGTGATGTGAGGCTGGATTGTGAAAGTGGATCAAGGAGGTAGCACTGTAGGTGCTACTACCACTATTCTACCACCACTGCACTACCACTACTGTGCTACCACCACTTGTAACTAAAACACTGAAAATAGAACTCCATTAGTAAAGTTCTGCTCCTGTAACAACACATATATCTTCAGCAACAAACCGGCTGTATCCCACCAAGGCAGGGTGGCCCAAAAAGAAAAACAAAAGTTCCTCTTTTTAAATTTAGTAATATATACAGGAGAAGGGGTTACTAGCCCCTTGCTCGCGGCATTTTAGCCGCCTCATGTGACACGCATGGCTTATGGAGGAAAAATTCTGTTCCACTTCCCCATGGAGAGTAACAAATATATAAATCAGCGGCGACCCAGTGTTTCTTTTTTGTGTCACCCAGCCTCAGTGGGAGATGGCTAGTATGTTAAAAAAGAAATCAGTGGTAAAACATGTTAAGTCTACTGTATTATTGTGTATATGAGAAAACTGTGTTGTGGTGAAGAAATTATATACATATCAAGTGTTTGTTTCAGTGCTCCATCTCTGTATGGGGAGGATGCCATGTTTGAAGAAGTGAAAACTGAGAGAGCCCCCTCCTCAAATCCTACTAAAGGTATGTTGTATTGATCTGCTTGTAAAGGTCTCTTGATCCAAGTAATTGGAGCTACCTTCCTTTCTCTTGGATGAAACATGATTGCTTATCCCTTCCATTCTTCAAGTTTACCACTTCCATGAAATATAATAATAATAATTGGAATTCTTTATTTTCTTATATTTTAACCCTTTGACTGTTTCGGTCATATATATACACCTGCCATCCGACTTATGACCAAGCTTGGTTCCGACCAACCGGTCATAAGTCAAAATGGACGTAAGTCGAACCTGTGAAAATTGCCGACATATTGGGTAGGGTATAATGTCAAACTTTTCCTATATAAACTACCTACATAGTTCTGTAATGTAATGTACAATCATTATTTCATTCTTTTTACCATAATTTACTTCTGTTGTTATATTTTAATTATTTATGTACTGTATATAATGTATACATGGTAGTGAACTGTATTGTAAATTTTACATCGCATACAGTATCATATGTTACCATTAACTTTATGTATTGTCGACACAGTGGAATGTGAGAATAACACTGGTAGTGTCATCCTGCCAGAATGTTGTATAACCTATACCCCTAAGTAAAGAGAAACAACTCTGCAACATGTGTAATACGTATCCGGCTGGGTGGCCGGGTAGGTGGGCAGTTGGTTGGCTGACTGAATGTGGCTCTCTCTCTCTCTCTCTCTGTATCTCTCTCTATCTCTCTCACACACACAAGTACACATAAGTGAAGTTATCATACATACTATAAATTACCTAGGATAACCCAAAAAATCCAGACAAAGTGCTATACAGTGGATCTGTGCTCCAGTGCCCTAAATTAATAATAATAATAATAATTATTATTATTACAATAATACATATGCACTAATAATAATAATATTATTTTTTTTTTATTATCACACTGGCCGATTCCCACCAAGGCAGGGTGGCCCGAAAAAGAAAAACTTTCACCATCATTCACTCCATCACTGTCTTGCCAGAAGGGTGCTTTACACTACAGTTTTTAACCCTTTGAGGGTTTTGGTCGTACTAGTACGTCTTACGCGTAGGGGTTTTTGACGTACTAGTACTCATAAATTCTAGCGGCCTCAAATCTAGTGGGAGAAAGCTGGTAGGCCTTCATATGAAAGAATGGGTCTATGTGGTCAGTGTGCACAGTCTAAAAAAAATCCTGCAGCACACAGTGCATAATGAGAAAAAAAAAAACTTTGACCATTTTTTTTTAATAAATCAGCGACTTTGCAGTGTATTTCGTATGGTATTTATTGTTGTATTCTAGTTTTCTTGGTCTCATTTTATAGAATGGAAGACATATTACAGAAATTGAGATGATTTTGACTGGTTTTACAATGAAAGGTGCCTTCAAATTGAGCTCAAAGTAGCAGAAATGTTCGATTTTTACCAAACTTCAAAGTAAACAAATCGTGCCAAGCGTGCAATACACGTCAACTGGTGAGTCTAATATTCTTTCACAAGTGCACCAATAATATTTATACCATTTTTTACACTAATGCAGTAGTCTGCATAACAGTAAATCTTACATTTTTTGTGAGAATAAAAATTCAAAGTGGAAAGCAAAAGAATATAAGAGGGGCCTTGAGACGTGACTAATGACTAGAGGAAATGTCATTTTAGTGCCAGGAATGGCTTTCTTGTTTATTCTGGACCCTATTCCGAAATTGGCATCTTTTGAAATTTGTGTGAAATTGGCAAAATTGCTAAATTCTGACCACTGTACTGGATAGTTGAATTTATAAATGGGTGGTTTCTTGCACTCATTCGATAGAAAAAATGGAGTTCTAGCGGAATATTCATGTTTTTTGTCGACTAGTACAGTGAAATTGGCCGAAAATGGGGCTCAAAGTGGGCAAAATCGCCGATGCGTAAACATCGCCGAGACCGCTAACTTTGCGAGAGCATAACTCCGTAAGTTTTCGATCAAATTTCAAACTTTTGGTGTCTTTATGATCGGGAAAAGATTCTCTATCTTTTCATAAGAGAAAATAATTTTTTTTTTTTTTTTAAATTTGGCCGACCCTGAGAACGAGTTTCGGAGAGGGCCTGTCGACCCTCAAAGGGTTAAACTCCAACATTAACACCCCTCCTTCAGAGTGCAGGCACTGTACTTCCCATCTCCAGGACTCAAGTCCGGCCTGCCGGTTTCCCTGAATCCCTTCATAAATGTTACTTTGCTCACACTCCAACAGCACGTCAAGTATTAAAAACCATTTGTCTCCATTCACTCCTATCAAACACGCTCATGCATGCCTGCTGGAAGTCCAAGCCCCTCGCACACAAAACCTCCTTTACCCCCTCCCTCCAACCTTTCCTAGGCCGACCCCTACCCCGCCTTCCTTCCACTACAGACTGATACACTCTTGAAGTCATTCTGTTTCGCTCCATTCTCTCTACATTGTCCGAACCACCTCAACAACCCTTCCTCAGCCCTCTGGACAACAGTTTTGGTAATCCCGCACCTCCTCCTAACTTCCAAACTACGAATTCTCTGCATTATATTCACACCACACATTGCCCTCAGACATGACATCTCCACTGCTCCAGCCTTCTCCTCGCTGCAACATTCATCACCCACACTTCACACCCATATAAGAGCGTTGGTAAAACTATACTCTCATACATTCCCCTCTTTGCCTCCAAGGACAAAGTTCTTTGTCTCACAGACTCCTAAGTGCACCACTCACTCTTTTTCCCTCATCAATTCTATGATTCACCTCATCTTTCATAGACCCATCGCTGACACGTCCACTCCCAAATATCTGAATACGTTCACCTCCTCCATACTCTCTCCCTCCAATCTGATATCCAATCTTTCATCACCTAATCTTTTTGTTATCCTCATAACCTTACTCTTTCCTGTATTCACCTTTAATTTTCTTCTTTTGCACACCCTACCAAATTCATCCACCAATCTCTGCAACTTCTCTTCAGAATCTCCCAAGAGCACAGTGTCATCAGCAAAGAGCAGCTGTGACAACTCCCACTTTGTGTGTGATTCTTTATCTTTTAACTCCACGCCTTTGCCAAGACCCTCGCATTTACTTCTCTTACAACCCCATCTATAAATATATTAAACAACCACGGTGACATCACACATCTTGTCTAAGGCCTACTTTTACTGGGAAAAAAAATTCCCTCTTTCCTACATACTCTAACTTGAACCTCACTATCCTCGTAAAAACTCTTCACTGCTTTCAGTAACCTACCTCCTACACCATACACTTGCAACATCTGCCACATTGCCCCCCTATCCACCCTGTCATACGCCTTTTCCAAATCCATAAATGCCACAAAGACCTTTTTAGCCTTATCTAAATACTGTTCACTTATATGTTTCACTGTAAACACCTGGCCCACACACCCCCTACCTTTCCTAAAGCCTCCTTGTTCATCTGCTATCCTATTCTCCGTCTTACTCTTAATTCTTTCAATAATAACTCTACCATACACTTTACCAGGTATACTCAACAGACTTATCCCCCTATAATTTTTGCACTCTCTTTTATCCCCTTTGCCTTTATACAAAGGAACTATGCATGCTCTCTGCCAATCCCTAGGTACCTTACCCTCTTCCATACATTTATTAAATAATTGCACCAACCACTCCAAAATTATATCCCCACCTGCTTTTAACATTTCTATCTTTATCCCATCAATCCTGGCTGCCTTACCCCCTTTCATTTTACCTACTGCCTCACGAACTTCCCCCACACTCAAACTGGCTCTTCCTCACTCCTACAAGATGTTATTCTCCTTGCCCTATACACGAAATCACAGCTTCCCTATCTTCATCAACATTTAACAATTCCTCAAAATATTCCCTCCATCTTCCCAATACCTCTAACTCTCCATTTAATAACTCTCCTCTCCTATTTTTAGCTGACAAATCCATTTGTTCTCTAGGGTTTCTTAACTTGTTAATCTCACTCCAAAACTTTTTCTTATTTTCAACAAAATTTGTTGATAACATCTCACCCACTCTCTCATTTGCTCTCTTTTTACATTGCTTCACTACTCTCTTAACCTCTCTCTTTTTCTCCATATACTCTTCCCTCCTTGCATCACTTCTACTTTGTAAAAACTTCTCATATGCTAACTTTTTTTCCCTTACTACTCTCTTTACATCATCATTCCACCAATCGCTCTTATTCCCTCCCGCACACACTTTCCTGTAACCACAAACTTCTGCTGAACACTCTAACACTACATTTTTAAACCTACCCCATATCTCTTCGACCCCATTGCCTATGCTCTCATTAGCCCATCTATCCTCCAATAGCTGTTTATATCTTACCCTAACTGCCTCCCCCTTTTAGTTTATAAACCTTCACCTCTCTCTTCCCTGATGCTACTATTCTCCTTGTATCCCATCTACCTTTTACTCTCAGTGTAGCTACAACTAGAAAGTGATCTGATATATCTGTGGCCCCTCTATAAACATGTACATCCTGAAGTCTACTCAACAGTCTTTTATCTACCAATACATAATCCAACAAACTACTGTCATTTTGCCTACATCATATCTTGTATACTTATTTATCCTCTTTTTCTTAAAATATGTATTACCTATAACTAAACCCTTTCTATACAAAGTTCAATCAAAGGGCTCCCATTATCATTTACACCTGGCACCCCAAACTTACCTACCACACCCTCTCTAAAAGTTTCTCCTACTTTAGCATTCAGGTCCCCTACCACAATTACTCTCTCACTTGGTTCAAAGGCTCCTATACATTCACTTAACATCCCCCAAAATCTCTCTCTCTCCTCTGCATTCCTCTCTTCTCCAGGTGCATACACACTTATTATGATCCACTTCTCGCATCCAACCTTTACTTTAATCCACATAATTCTTGAATTTACACATTCATATTCTCTTTTCTCCTTCCATAACTGATCATTTAACATTACTGCTACCCCTTCCTTTGCTCTAACTCTCTCAGATACTCCAGATTTAATCCCATTTATTTCCCCCCA